TTTTTTGCCTTTGACCTCAAGCAATTACTTGGAAGAGTTCATGCCATTCTTACTTGTGTACACTTACAAGTTGTTCTAACAACTTTTTCTCATTTAATTTACATGTTAGTGAATCTAAAACTGTACACTTAAAATGCATATATTTCAATATCATTTTTTTTATTTTAAATTCTCAGCACAAGAAGTAGACTTGTCAGCTTTATATAGTTGCGTGAACAAGCACCGGGCAGAGCCGGTTCATGCAGTTCCTGTAATTTCTAAACCCGAAACTGTTTTATACCATGAACCAGAAATTGGTAACGGATACGACGATGAAGATGCTTTATACTGCCAACCAGAGGAATTTATGCGATCGCCAAGTACAAGTAACGCAGTACATACAAGATGTTACCACGCCGGAGATGATTAGAAATAACGTGAGTTTTATATTAAGATTGTTAAATTGTTGAATTGCTAATAACTGCAAATAACTTCGAAACTAGACAGTCCAGATTTTTCAAACGATACTGGTGGAACCAGAAGTCGTGGAATGAGATTGTGCTATGTTAGTCTATTATTTGTAATTCCACTGTTGTAAAGCAGGCTTGGTTTAATATACGTATGCATTGGATATGTAGTCATTGATATATCTTTTTACAACAATACTAATGATAGTTTTAGACATTCATATCTAATTATAGTTATGTCCAAAACTATCCACATTTTGATCGTAACTTAAATGATTGAAATAATGTCATCAAAACCAAACCAAATAAATGAAGTTTATTTTTCACCAGAAAATTCGATTGGCTAATTTTGTTTTTTTGACGATTCAGCCTTCTGATTCGTTTGATACCAAATTCAAAGTATATGTAGCCAAAGTGAGCGTAATCGAAAATTTTAAGATGCATTGCGAACGCCCTGGTATTTACCACACTATAAGCGGGGCGGTAAAAATACCCATCTCGAGGGAGGGCATTTCAATGTAAATTTAGGACATTTTTTACATTTATTTTAACGAATTAAAATTTTCATACCAACCATTTTAATTTGTATACATTAGTAAAATCTAGATAAAATTGGACGTGGATTTTGATCAATTTTTTGTATTTTTTGAAATCCTTGGATATCTTGCACCGGACACTTTGTTTTATATACATCAGCGAAAACTAGATAAAATTACTAATATCAAGTAAAAACTGTTATATACACTTGGATATTGAACTTTTGAATCATTCGTAGTTGAAATGCAGACTTCAGTATTTTGATAATTGCTAGAACATTTTTGACTTTTCTTAAATAACTTTAATTTTATTTTGGATTAATGATTTGTTTACATTATTAAAAACTAAATAAAATTTACTAAAATCTTATTAGAAACAGTTATATACACTTGTGTATCAAAAATTTGAATAAATGAGTTCCAATAGCATTAAAGAGGCTTTGTTATACATAGATTGTTTTGTACGACTTTTTCGTAATTCCTGAAATTAAAACTTTGGTATACTACCAATGAAATGCGTATGATAATTTATAATAATAGTTTATTAGCAGTTATGTACATAGATAACTTATCGCGACCAGAACCCGGGACCGACTGCCTGTTGAGCAATCCATACGCGCCATCCGGCACGACCCTTACGACGGCGACGTTGCCATACGCCTACAGTACTCCCCCTCTAGTGACGAAGTTCACGAAAATCCGGCCTGCCAAAAATCCGGAAACCGAACTCGGCGTCCTCGTCTTGTTGAAGAGTTTGGTTGTGCAACTGGCTCAGGCTCTGTCGGGCTCAACGGCTGAGATCTGCTGTTGTTGTCAGATTCTCGCTGGATTGTTTGCGGAATCTCATTAGACTGCGACGGAACGGATTCAGCATTTTCTTCTGGTGCTAGTGTGTATGCTGGCTTCAAACGGTCGATAGATATGGTGACATCTTTGCCCCGCATACATACCACAAAAGACTTTGCTGATCTGGACTTTACCTCAAAGGGACCTTCATATGGATTCTGCAGAGGTCTCTTTGGGCCGTCGTTTCGAACGAAAACGCTCTCCGCAGTCGCTAAATCTTTGAAGACAAATGTTCTCTTCTGGCCATGTCGCGTTCCATTGATGGGGCATATATTTTGCATGTGGTCCCGCAGGTTATTTACAAAGTTTCTCTCGCCGTAATTACTCGTCGGTGTTACGTGTAGCATTGGTCCAGGCAATCGCAAGGCTTCGCCATATACCATTTCCGCAACAGTAGCTTGCAGATCCTCTTTCCATGCTGCACGAATTCCTAACATAACCGTCGGTAATATTTCTGTCCATCTTTCACTGCTATGGCATCTGATAGCTGCTTTGAGCTGGCGGTGGAATCTTTCCACCATCCCATTGGCTTCGGGATGGTATGCCGTAGTCTTGTAATGACTCGTGCCAAGCAGCTGATTTAATTCACTGAATATTCGTGACTCGAACTGCCTTCCTTGGTCCGATGTCAGCCGCAGCGGTATACCAAATCTTGCAATCCAATTAGAATAGAAGGCTCGCGCTACGGTGGAGGCTTCTTGGTCTCTGATTGGAATTGCTTCCGGCCATCTCGAAAATCTGTCGACGCATGTAAGGCAATACCGATATCCTTCTGACAATGGCATTATCACTATATCGATATGCACGTGCTCAAATCTACCCGATGGAAGTTCAAATTGTCCAGTTGGGGCCTGCACGTGCCTACTGACTTTTGCACGCTGACATGCGACGCAACATCGAGCCCACTCGCGGCAATCCCGTTTGATGTACGGCCACACATATCTTTGTGTAACTAGCTTGATCGTAGCATTCATACCGGGGTGTGACAATCCGTGTAAGCTATCAAACACCGCCCGCCGTAACTTCGTTGGAACATACGGTCTAGCTGTTCGCGTAGATATGTCGCACAAGACTGACACGTCTTGGTCCTCAAATCGCATAAGTTTCAGTTTGAGCGACGTGTTGTTTTCGGTGCGCAACTTAGCTATTTCTTCATCTATTTTCTGCTCCGCTGCTAATAACTTCATATCTATTCCGGCACTTCTTAGAGACTCCACCCGCGATAATGCGTCGGCGACAACATTTTTCTCTCCCGACATATGACGTACATCGGTCGAAAATTGGGCGATAAAGTCTAAATATCGGAATTGACGAGGCGAACACTGACTATCCTTCTTGACAAATGCGAACACTATTGGTTTATGGTCAGTAAAAATTGTAAAAGTTCTTGCCTCAACCATGTGACGAAAGTATTTCACCGCTTCATACACTGCAAGTAGTTCACGATCGTAAGTTGCGTATTTCCGTTCCGTTGTGCTCAGTTTTCGCGAAAAGAATGCCAAGGGTTGCCAGCTGTTAGCGACCTGCTGCTGTAATGAGGCTCCAATGGAATGTTCTGAAGCGTCGCAGAAAATAGCTAAATGAGCATTAGCGTGTGGGTGGGATAGTAGTGCTGCTTGAGCCAGACTCTCCTTACACGCTTCAAAAGCAGCTGACGTATGCGCTGTCCACTCTACCGGGGTTTTGCTCTTCGGATCTCCACGCAGAAACTCATTTAACGGTGCTTGAATTTGAGCGGCATTTGGTATGAACCTTCTATAAAAGTTTAGCATGCCCAAAAACCGCCTCAGCTCTTGCGTTGTCGCTGGCTTTGTGAATGTCCTAATAGCTTCAACCTTCTCTGGCAAGGGGCGAGTACCCTCAGCCGAAACCTCATATCCCAAAAACTTTACACTTGTTTGG